TGTCCAAACGCGGCACGTCGCACGGTAAACTGATTTCTCAGCTCCGGATTTTAGTCGCCTTCAATTTCCCCTTTCTCACAATAGTCAAAATTTCAAGGAATGGAGCCATCTACTTTGAATGATACTATTTTTTAAAAATTTTTAAGTATCTTAAATTGATTAAAGAAGGGGGCTAAAAATAAGGGTGTTGAATATTTACCTTTTTATTTTAAATTGATTCCGTTTACACTTTTTTGTATTGACTAAAACCAGCTTCGTGAAGAACTTTATAAAAAAGGGAACGGAGAGAAAGAAGTTGAGAGAGATAGTAGACAAAAGAGGAAGAAAAAAGCAAGCTTATGAATTTTTTTGTATTTTTCTTTGCTTGAGAACTTAGTTTTTGTTAAAGGATAATAACACTTATATCCTTTGTATACTTCACTATATCCAATAAATACACATGGTAAGAAGTGTGGGTCAAGTTTGGTTTTGTTGTAGGGTCTTAAATAAGGGAAGCAACGACAACCAAAAACTCTCAAGGATGAATAATCAGGTTTTCTACTGCATAAAAGCTCATAAGGGCTCTTCTACTATAATATTCTAAAAGGTTGTCTATTAATCAACCAAACTGCAGTTCCTAAAGCCTCATTCCACAAGTATTTGGGAATTCCTCCATAAAACATCATATTTAGGCCTAATTCAGTTATGTTCCTATGTTTTCTTTCTGCAATCCCATTTTGTGGTGATGGATGAGGACAAGAAATTTGGTGTTTAATGCCAAACTTGGATAGATAGGCATTAAACTTGGTGTCCGTGAGTTCTCCCCCACCATCAGATTTAAACACTTTGATCTTTTTTTCAAACTGATTTTCAACATATTTATTGAAATCAATAAAACATTGTAACAAATCAGATTTATTCTTCAAGGCAAAATACCATGTAAACCTTGTGCATTCATCAATAAAAAAAAACATAATAATCGAAGTGATGATACGAAGCAATAGGTGTTTTTCCCCACAAGTCACAATGAATGATAGAAAGAGGTTCCTTACTTAAATCCTTTCTACTTGCAAATGGTAGCCTACATGCTTTGGTCATTTGACAGCTAGAGCAAACTTGTTCTTTATTGCTATAAATAGTTTTATTGGAGATTAAATTTTGATATTTGAGCATATCATTGACGATCATTTGAGTATGTCCTAGCCTTGCATGCCAAACTTCTGCTGAAGCAATTTGAAATCTGTTAGAGAACAATGTCGTTGTTGTCGTTGAATTGTTATCTGGTTGCATGGCATAAAGTCCTCCATTTTTGTTTCCTATTGCTATGACTTGCTTTGTCTCCTTGTCCTTTATCACAAATCTATTAGATAAGAATTTACAAGTGTAAGGATAATTAAAGATTAATTAACAGACAGATAATAAATTTTTCTTAATTTGAGGTACAATAAGAACATTATTTAAATGTAGATTTTTTTTTTTCAGTTTTAAGTGAAGCAGATCCTATGTGAGTAATGTTTAGCATGTGTCCATCACCTACCATAATTTATTAGGTCCATGATATGAAGTGAATTTATTTAGCTTACCAATGTCAGAAGTCATAAAGATAAGGCTATAGTGTCTAGATGTTAGAGTTTATTTTAAATATCTAATATAGTGATGGCCATTAGAGCTTGTAAGGGAATTTCAGGTTGTTAACAGTTGATTGAAGCATCTGCAGCAATTAGGGGTAGTATGCCTTGGTTTGTTACAGATTTGACAATAGGCTTGAGTGTTTTGGTCTTGCTTGGCAAAGACATTTGCTGCAGATGTGAAGGGTTTTGCCCCTAGAATGCCCATAGTTGAGATAAGAAAATAATATGTGGTTGTCGAGGTCTGTTGTGGAAGATCCTTCAATTAGATTAATGTTGAGAACGTTGGCTAACAAAAGCCATAGTTTGATTTAAAGAACCAAAACTATCAGGATAGTTGACAGATTTCATTGTCTCATGTCTTCGAAGTAAAAGAACAATTTTACAAAATGATGGTATTGAAGGTTTCATCATAGTTGTTACAAATGACTCATATCCATGACCAAGACCTGAGCAATTGAAACACTTTGGTTCAATCACTTATTGGTTTTCCAATAGTAGCCAAGTCATCACAAATTGCTTTAAACTTTCTGATGTAGTCAGGAATGGGGAGATTATCTTTTCTATGAGTTTGTAAAGTTTGTAGAAAATAGAACTCCCTTTCTTGTGATTCTTGGGCAAAGGCATCCACTGAGGCATTCCACACATCTAACGATGTTTCTAATCCCACAACAAGTCCAAGCACTTCTTTGGACTAGTTTCTTATGATTCTTGTGATTCTTCAAATAATGTACCTGTTATCCAACCTCCAACCTTGTAAAAGAGAATCTAATTTTTTCCAAAGCATATACTCTGGACTAGTTTGATCAGGCATGGCATATTTACCATCCAGAAAACCAAGCATATCTTGACTTTTAACTAATCCCATGACCTGAGTCTTTCATAAAAGAAAATTTGTCTAGTTGAGATGGGAAGAAACAGAATTTCCTACATTCAGTGTTGAAGGGTAAGGGTATTTAATAAATGCAGCCATTGAGGGAGTAGATATAGTAAGGTAATTTAGGGATGGTCAAGAAAATATAGAAATGTGATGATAGTAGAAATTTAGAAATAGTAACAGACGCTTGATAGTAAAAGCAGTAAAAAAAATCAAAAAGTGTGATGATATTAATAGTTGAAAAAAAATAGTATAAGAGATGTGAACTAACATAATAGTAAGAACAATAAGTAAAAATAAATAAATAAATAGTAATGATAGTGAAATTTCATAAGAGAAAGAGATTGAGATTGGGTAGAAGTTTATCCAATAGCTAAAAGTGTTGGTTTGACTTTGAATTTAGATAGTTAAGAAAGAATTTAGAATGGAAGAACGATTAAATCACCAAGTAGTAGAATGATAGAATTCTAAGACAAGAAGAACAATTAGGATAAGATTTAGATGATAGAATGATATTAAGAAAATCAGAAAATGAGGTATAAGAAATAAAAGATTTTGACTCAAGTAAGGCCGAAGACAAAAGAAACCGCTCACATGAGGTAGTAGACAAAAGGAAAAGGTAGTAGACAGCAGAAACAACTTAAGTAAGATAGTAGGCAAAAGAAACAACTTTGAAAACAGAAAAAAAAAAATTTAGAATTCACTTAGAAATTGCTTTAATACCATGAAGAACTTTATTAAAAAGGGAAAGGGAGAGAAAGAAGTTGAGAGAGACGGTAGACAAGAGAGGAAGAGAAAAACAAGCATATGAATTTTTTATGTTTTTTTTTTTTTTTTGCTTGAGAACTTAATTGGTTCTCCGTTCTCTAAATAGGTTACAAACTATGTTATGCCAGGAAACTTTGTCCAACAATAAGGAGAGATTATAGGGTCAATGATGATGTATCAATCTTTCAAAATTGGTGCAATGTCTCTTTACAAAAAATATTGCAACACATGCTACTAATCTTGTTGTTGATCTGTTGTCATATTTACTGCTGATTTGCTATTGTTTTTGTGAGAGTTTTCCTGCTGGTTTGTGATTGATTTATTGCTGGTTTGTGGGAGAAGATAATGTTCACACTTTGACCTTTCACTATTGTATATTGCTCAAACGAGTTAAAGCAATTCATGATAAATGGAGAAGTTGGTCTTGGTAGGAGTGAACACACCTGCCAAGCTAGAAAGTCTTAAGAAAGAGATACTTTTATAGATAATTGGATAAATAATGCTATGGATGGATATCACTATAATTTATACAATTATTATAATTACATTAATAATTTTAAAATTTAAAAAAATAGTTATATAATGATATGTGTCACGGTCTTACATGGACATGAATCTTACATAGTCGAAATAATACTTCAGCATGTCAAGCCACAAAGTCCCACGTCGAAGAAAGAATCTCAGTAGAGAGTAAGAGAGGATGTCATGGTTCTAGAGAAAGGGAGTTATGAATCCCATATTGACTATGTACTAAAATAATACTCAACATATAAAAATTCACACCACTTTTAATTTGTGAAACACCTTTTGTTAGATAAAATCATAAAACTAACGGATCAAAGCAAACAACATCATAGGGATTGGTGTGGATAATTAGATTTTAGACTAACTTCTACAATCCATGGCCACATTTGAATAGTAAAACATGTACCAATTTTTCACTTTGGTACAATATGCTACCGCGAAGATATTTGAAGCGTGTAGGAAGGGGGCTAAATCATTTTCTTTACCATGCTTAATTAACGCATTTTCCTAAGAGAAATATATAGTTGAAGGTAAGGTTTGTTGATGAAAAGCGTGTATTTAGGTATCTTATTCGATACGAAGAAAACAAGATAGGGCGAAGAGGATTTAAAAGCCCATAAAAGAGAGGGTCACAATCAGCAGAAGTTGCAAGGAAGAGAGGGGGAGGGGTGGGGAGTCGGCTCTACCCCACGCGGAATTTGATGTCATCGTTTTTTTTTTTTCTTTTCTGCCTTTATTATTTACTAACTACTTATGGGAATAATATTAGTATTACAAATCTCTTGTACTGGCGCTGTAAAAGTTGAAACTCAACTCCTACAATCAAACAATTCAAGAAATCTTGATCATTCTTTGGCTGGCTTTGTTTTTTCTTTTACTGATGGATCAAATTAATGGCCAAACTTTATCTCACATAGCCACCACTACTTTTGTCTTCCTTCGCTTCTATTCCGTGGATCCATGCCCTTTAATAATAATAATAATAATAATAAATACCCTTTTTCCTCTGCCCTGACCTTTCAGACCTATCCATCCCTTCCCTCTCTCATCTTTGTTCTTTTCTGTATTTACAATTTTTTACTATAATTTCTTAAAATACTTTTCAAACACACTTTTTACAACTACAACAATATAATATTTAAAACCATTCTCTTCTTATTAATGAAAATGTTTGGCTTAGCAGAAAAAAAAAACCAATAATATTTATAGGTCTTGGTGCTTTAGACCGCAATTCTAGCAGGCTTGAAATTTCCGTTGGTCAGGCTAGATTCCCACCAAGTACAAGCTAAGGTTACAATTTTAGAGCCTGGAAGTCTGTGTTGCTGGTTTGTTGCAAGCCTTAGTAGCTTGTTCTTTTTGTGGCTACTATTGTCGGAGCCTGCGTGCTGCTGGTTTTTGTTCCACTAGCGGTTTTTCTAGTTGTTTAATGAGGTGGTATTTGAGATTGGTTCCCCTTTTGATTGTCCCCACGTATGATTTTGATCGGAGGATCTTTTCTTCCATACATCGATCACAATTGAACCTCCTTGCCCAACTCTCTCTCTCTCTCTCTCGATCTCTCTCTCGATTGGCATATCTTTTTCTCCATAATCGATGACAATTGCACCCCTTCCCCAACCTCTCTCTCTTCTTTCTCTCCCTCTCTCTTTCGCTCTCTCTCGATTGCTATCTTTCTTCTATACATAGATCACAATTGCACCCCCTTCCCCCAACTCTTTATCTCTCTCTCTCTCTCTCTCTCTGGATTGACCGATCTTTTTCTTCTATACATCGATCACAATTGCACCCCCTACCCATCTCTCTCTCTCTCTCTCTTCCAATTGATCATCTCAAATGGTGAGATCTTTTCCTATAATTTTGTTTTAGTGTTTATTTTTCACTTATCAATAAAAGAAGAAAAGATTGTTTCCGCAGCTAAGGCTTTTGATGAGCTGGCTTTGTGAAGGCGCTGTAAGATCCTTCAAACTTGTTTCTGATCTTGGACTTGGATGACCAAGGATTTCTCATTTCTATGTCCTGCTTTTTGTATTTCGGAACTTTTTTGTTCTGTTGTTTAGGGCTTTGCCTTTGGGGCCGTGTAGTTTAGGTTCCTTAGAAGGCTTGCTTTAGGTTGATGGTTTGTTTTGATCATGCTGCCAGTCTCTCTTTTTGTGTTCTGGCAAGGTGAGTTAGCTGAGTTTTTGGGGCTGCTGCCAAAGGTTATGTGAGCAGTCTGCCGTTTCTTGTATTGCTCTTTTGCCAAGCCGGGTTCAATGCCAACTACAGTCTCCAGCAATTTCAGCTCGGCTTGAGACTATTTTTGACATAAGGCCGGTAGAATGGCCAATAAAATCCATCTTTCAAAAAAAAGCAAGCTTTCATGTGTTTGGTTTAAATGGAATAGTTTTCCAATCTTTGGTTTTTTTTTTTTCTTTTTACTCAGTCAAATCTTTAATTATTTCGATCGGAGTAACCATGTTATTTTTTATTTCAATCAACTTATATTACATAAGTTTATTACTAATAAATGGTTTTGAATATTTTGCTTGCCCAATCAGGATGTACAAATCATTCTTGAGAATGGGGAGGTTGAATCGGCAAGGAAGAAAGCAGAGAACAGACGCATGGCGAGGTGGCTAAGGGCAAAGAATCTATCAGTTAAACGAAAGAAAAAAGCACTGCGGAGGATTAAGAGAGTGAACCACCTACTTATTGCAGAGAATAGACGCATGCAAGAATTGGTCGACGTTTTTCTGCTTACGGTTGAAGCAGATAACAATCGTGTTCGCGAGATGAATGCAGCTATCCAAGGAATGAATGATCTCAACCTCGATGGAAACTATAATATTACTACTGTGAACCAAGTTCAACCTTGCTCTAGCAGTGGCAGCGCCGCTGATAGCGACAACAATGGTTATAACCGTGGTGGTGGAGGCGGAAACAACGGTGGTGGACTCCATGAGTAGGGTGATGTTGGAGCCCGTTGGCCGTTAGTCAAGAAGTAACTGTGACTGCCTCTCTAATGGCAGCAAATAATGCAGGCCTTAAGGTTAGAGTTTCAGTAATTTGCTGTGTTTGAGTTAAAGGGTAGGTAACTGTGACTGCCTCTCTAATGGCAGCAAATAATGGGGGCAGGTCTTAAGGTTAGAGTTTCAGTAATTTGTTGTGTTTGAGTTGAAGGGTAGTTACTGGTTAGTGTTACTGTTTCTTTTGGTGAATTTGGCTGTTTGAGTTCATCAGTCAAAGTGTTATTAATTTAAAGAAAAAAAAACCCTTCTATAAATAACTTCTATTTCTTTATAGATCAATGATGAAGGCAAAATTTAGATAAAGATTTTCTTAACTGAACTTCCTTTTATTCTACGAATTGAATTAACAGGTATTTATAAGTATTGATTAAAGTTAATTACAATATTTTTTTTCATGTAATGCACCATATTTATCATCAAATTTTAAAAACAAAAAGATAATGAATCAATATGATCACTTCAATCATTATAAATAGGCAATTGATACAACTTTCCCATTTTCCCTTGCTTTATCCTTCATAGAAAGCACAAACAAATTATCTAAACTCACATGGATTAATTCAGTTGGTAAAGAAAGGAACGTTTCGTTTCTCGTCAATTAAAGTTCAATCTTTATAAGGAACATTTTGAAAATAAAACCTGCAATGTATTGAAACTGTGTCTTTAAAATAGTTCGAGGAAGAAATTAAGCACAAGTTAAACTTAGAAATACCTTGATCTTATTAAAAAGGGGAATTTATCTTTTTCCTAAGTAAGAGGAAGACAGACTGTTTTGGTAAGTTGCAGCCTCAATCCCTTATAATATTTACATGGAATTACGAAAGCCACGTGGCCTGACAACGGTTTAAGAGAGAGATTTGCATGGGAAGCCCGATAATACCTGGTATGGAATTTAAAATTAGCAATCAATATAAATAATTTCAACAATCCAAATGTACCAAAGTCCGAAAGAGGCCCCACCCCCACCACAGCCAAAAAAAAATAGAAAATGTTAAATATTTGGTTAAATATAATAAAAAATTAAAAAATTATTTAAATAGTTTAAACAATTTTAAAATTTTTTAATATTATATTAATTTTTAATAATAACTGTTTTTTTATACCTTTTTATCTAATAATTAACAATTTTAATATTTCCATCCCCAAATATATGCCCTCCGTTTTCTTCAATTTACGCATGCATGAGTACTCATGTTATGGTGATCAGATCAATCAATGAATCAAACTTTATTTTAATTCTAACATAAAATGATTCAGATATAATGATTCTAGTAACCCCAAATTCAACGCGTTTCTCTTTCCTATTGAGGAATTATTTATTGATTATAAGTTGCATGTAAAGCCGAATTTCTAATGTGATTTACACTTGTAGTTAGTGCTCGTTTTAATTCCTGGAATGGGAAACAACATGCAAAGGTTCCATGTTGATTAAATGGACTTTTACAGTAAAGTTATGATAAAATTTTGTTATAATGGAAGTACATTGTTTGATATTATTCATGCAAGTGTTTTTTGTCTGTCTTTGTGCTTCTTTATTTTTTATTTTTTGAGTTTGAGTGATTCGAAAGAATTCCACGACAAGTTTGAGTTATCCTTTGTTTTTGTTGGAAATGAATCTGGTGTGTGGCAGCCATTCATGATTTTAATGAGGTTGAACTTCTCTTAACTGGTTTCATTTCAATAGGTAGATGGGGATTACTCTTTGTCATATTGGTACATTAGTGAATCGGCTAATAGCATAGTTCCAAGAAGCCTGGAGGGTCAACATTACCTTTTCAACATAAACTTCCAGCTCTCATTTAAGGAGATGCTAATCTGAGCCTAAATATTTGCAAAAATTTTTATTATTTCATATCTTTACTTTTTTTGTGAGAGATTGTCATATTTAGTCTTGATTCTTTTTTTCTTCTCAATCATCTTCATTAACAGTATCTTATCGATTTTCAGACTTATGATAGGCCACATATCCAGAAGTGGTTGAATGAAGGTTACCTAACATGCCCTCGGTCCAAACATGACCTTTCCCACACTAACCTTGCCCCTAGCTGTTTGGTGCAAGAATTGATTTCACACTCGTGCAAAGAACGTGGAGTTGCACTGCCAATGTCCTATTAGGATATTGATGGAGATATGAATACTGAGGTAGACCACATTAATTTGAACTCATTGCATGAAATGATGTCTTCTTCCTTTTGTGATCAAAAGGAAACTCCTAAAGAGCTCGGAGAAGGACTATACATACAGGACTACAAGGGTTAGAAGGCCAATGGCATCTTTGAGAAAATACATAAGGAAATCATTTTTCGTAGGTGCTCTTTTTCTTCTGAGTACCAATTCAAGCTCAATTACTTGTGTAAAAAGTCTTTTGTTTTTCTTCTGAGCACCAATTCAAGCTCAGTTACTTGTGTAAAAACTTGACATGCTTTGACTTCCAACAATGAATCAATACACCACAAATATCTTTGATGTTCCTAAACTAATGCATCACATATGCCTTTGATGTTTCTTTAAGGTTGAACTATACAACACAATATCGTCCAGATAGACTGCCACGAACTTGTCTAGATAATCATGGAAAACTTAATTCATCAATGTGCAAAAAGTGGTAGGAGCATTGGTTAGTCTAAAAGGCATAACAAGAAATTCAAATGCTCTCATACCGCGACACGCAGGTGGTTTTCGGTTCATCTCCATCAGCTTCTCTTACTTGATGGTACCTAAACCTAGGATCTAATTTAGAGAAATACTTCACATGAATCATTTGATTGAAACGACTGTTATAAAGGATTTAGATATTTATTCCTTAGTATGACTTTATTCAAGCTGTAATTCTCATATCACGAAATCGCATCTTGTTTTTTTTTGAACAATATCAAAGCCCAGAAAGTGCTTTTGAAGTCAGATTATCTCGCTTGGATCAGCTCGTATAATTGTTTCCTTAACTCATGTAGTTTTTAAAGAAGCCATCTTGTATGGCCCTTTTGCATGTGGTTTGACTCTGATATTTTTATGATTAATGCTTGTGGAGGTGATAGAACTCTAGATAGTTATTTTGGCGTTATATCTTTAATTCTTCCAAAACCAACTTCACTCTTTAGTAGTATTGGATTTATGCTATCTTCGCCTTTATAAATGGGCATAACCACAGAGGAGTTATCCCTTTTTAATCCTTTCTTAAACTAAATAGTTGATAGAATCTTTTTCCCACTCTTAGGAGAATTATAATTGGTACTATGTATGGTGTTCCCCAAAAATATTCAACAGCTAGCAGTAGGGAATGGGTTGCCTTGTGCTTTCGTCATGAAATCAAAACGAAGAACAAATCAAAGTCATCTATAGTGGTAACAGTCATGTTCACTTCCCCTCCCAAGAACCAATCTTAATCTTCACATCTTTGGAGTTTCTATAATATTGAGACTGGAGAGTTGACTGTTTTCATCGCCCAAAGTCTTTCTTAACCTTGAGACGCATCTCTTGCCCTCTAAAGTGATGAAAGTATCAGAGGCCCCCTTTTTGGATATGGCTTTGGTCTTTTGTCATTCACAACACAACCATATACAATGAGACATTATTAAGTTGATCCTTCATCTTGTCTAGTTGGCCGGTAGGGTGTAAGGAACGAATTGAACCCTCAGCCAGTTAATTGATCTTCAAGTGAACTAAATTAAAACACAGCTTAGCTAATCTCGAGTGAGAAAGGAAGAAAAGACCACTCGGACACACCCACACAACAATGAACTAATGTACGAGAGTCATTACTCTCTCCCCATAAACGCGCTTATGGGTGTGCAGCACACACAGCTTATAAAGAGCCCAGGACCTCCCGTTTTTGTCCGATGTGGGATAAGGCACTTTCATCGTGACACTCTCTCCCACCTGATAACGGCAACGCCGCTCGATGCGAGGGTCACCTGCTGGCATACCATGAGTCCCCTAGACCCGGACGCTTGGCGTGAGTCAAACTAGGTCCGACGCTCTGATACCACTTGTCACGGGATCATTACTCTTTCTCCCATAAACGCGCTTATGAGGGTGTGCAGCACACCGCTTATAAGGAACCTAGGACCTCCCGTTCTTGTCGCGATGTGTAGAGCACTTTCCTCGTAACACTAATACTTGCTTGGTATGGTGGCTCTCCCCTATAGAAAATTAATTTAATGTAATGTGAATCAACCGCCACAAATCAACATTAAATTGATAAAACATTAATTTAAAGTCGAGAAAAGCATGTTTTGTTTCTTGTTAGGCTGCTTCTTTGTAAGCATCTCATATGTTCCTTCTCGTCTTTTGACAATGTGGGTGGCCCTCATAAAATTTGTGCTCAACAAAGGTTAAAAACTTAAAAACCCTCATTGACTAAACTCTATCTACACGATCTCTCCTTTCAATTTTATTTGATGTTAATCACTAGCATCCATTGTTGAGTTTGAGCATTTTTAGGCCATGGTTGCTGGTCAAGATATAATTGGAATGTAGAAACAATGTCCTTAAATCATATTTATATACAAAGTAGTACCAAGATTTTATTTTTTTTTTAAATGATGTTATTTTTAATAGTTCACTTGGGAGACAGACGCTACGCTGCAAAGGTTGATAAAAACAAAAATAGTCCTTGTGTAAGGATTTGCAATATATATTGGTTTCTTATATGCAAACAAATAAGGATTGTCAATATCCTAGTTGGTTTGATGTGTTTCCTGGTATGTTGAGTTCTGAAAAGAAGTCTTCTGCTTTGACGAGCTTTGGATCCTTACAGAACTTACCGTTAACAAACACTGCATTAAAATGATAGAAACGTGAGTTGATGTACACATGCATTGCAAAAGCATAGAATTTTAATCAGGGGTATAGTTTGTTTCCAAATTGTTGTTATTGCAGAATATCTTAATTTAGAGTTTGACATTGATTTCAATACTTCAAAAAATAAAGGGACATACTACTATTTGGGCGTCCTTGAGGGCTACACAAAAGTCCTGAGAGGGCTAGGCAAATGAGAAAGCCAGAACCAACAGGGAAATTGGTACAAGGATTTTAAAACCTTCCATTGCAAACAAGGCAGCTTTCTCGCTCAGAAACTTCCAAGTTTTAATGCTTGTTGAGGTGAGAAATGTTGATTGAAGAACTTGCTCATTTATGGTTGGGAGTCGTTGAACTAGTCTCATTGTTCTTTATTAAAATTTCTTTCCAAGAAGCAGATGTAACACTTACCAAGTCTAGAGTCATCTTTTCCTTCGCTATTTTCTGCATATACTCGTGGAGTTCCCTCTTCCTATGTTCACTTCATTGACTTGAGCACAGTTCTGAAGTTGCAATGGAAGCCAGCGCTGCGGGCAATGAACTTACAATTGAAATTAATGTTGACAATGGTTATTAATGTTGCCATCCTCTAAAATTCTATATAATATTGGAGTAGTTCACATATGAAGCTTCTTTCATCGACACATGGCATTTAAAAAGACTGTTACTGAGTCTTCCATACTCTCCATTCTAGTTCAATTCAATCTAATTACCAACTCGCTTTAATATGGTGCTTTCTGGATGAAATATTTTATCTCCCAAGTCTGTTTGCAACATCAGTAACACTTAGCTTATTGTAATTTGAAACTGTATATGATTCGCCTTCAGTCTGAAATAGCAGAAAAAACATGCCGGGCTTGTGCCCAGAGTTACATTACCTTCGTACTCAAATTACTACTCAAAATAGGTCTGGTAATCTTCACATTGAACTCGAAATCTTAAGACTTGTATTGGGTGGGTGCGCCAGGCCCGAGCAGTAGTGCAACACTTGGGCGACGCACGAGAACCCCAGCAGCCAGCTACCGTGGTGGGCTCTCCCCCTTTAAAAAATTAATTTAATATCATGTGGACCGATGGCCCACGTATCAGATATTAAACTGATAAGAACAGATACTACACTTGATCTTAGCCAAAAGGCCGAGAAAGGTATGCTTAGGCCCTCCCAAGCCCGCTTATTTTATAGGCAGCTTGACGCCCAGTCGCTTCACGTCTTGTAAATGTGGGATTGTGACTAAACATGTCTCTCACTTCTCCTTTGGAAGTCATCGGAGACGAATCTCTGCATCAATGGATGGAAGTGCGCAATGAAAGAAGTGATGGCCCCAAAACCTTTCCAACTTTCAGAGTTTCATGTCCATCTGAAAACACTTAATAAGCAAATAATGGACTGTAAACTGAACTTCAAAGAAAATTGAAGCTATATCATTAATGGTAAACCTTATAGTACAATACAACTGATGTCTGCGAAGAACATTCCACTCCAAAGAGATTACATAAAAATATCAATCCTGGCTGGAAAAGCTAGAAACACTCTAACCTCATACAACAGAGACTAAGAATTAGACAGGTCTCAACCACAGAGACCAAACTCACAAACTTCTGATAGATCTTCCATCAAATTCCACAACAGAACATTCATCCCCAAAAAACTTTGGTAAAAGAAAAAACAGAAAAAGAAACATAATAACAGCATTCAGGGCATTTATAAAAAGGACCCCATGGTGACAAATTTTGTCCTTGTATTACAAACTTTAGATAGCACTATAAATAGTATTCATATCAGGTACATCTAACTAGAAAACTACTACTTGGTTAATAGTTTTATGGGCCCTGGGGCTTGGACTTGTTGGGAGGAGTCAAATTTTTAAGGTGGTTTTGGTTAGTTTTGGGGGTGAGATGAAACAAACTAGAATTGACCTCCTGTGAAGGTTTGGCCAAATGACCAATTGGGAGGAGCCGCATTGTTGGAGATGACAGAGCGGCCATCACTTGTTGTGACCTTAAAAGAGAGGGCTTGACCATTCAAGTAAGAGTTGCTTTGCCAGTTTTGGCCCCAATTGCGAGACATCACTTGCCAACCGGTTCTAGACCCTTTGATCGAGACAGACACCACATCTCCGGCCCCTCCAACATTGGTTATCAGAACAAGGTTGAAGTATGAATGGCCATTTATGGTAAACCTCATCCCACCAGATTTCCCACAAGCAACCCTGCAAATGAAAAGATGCTGTTTAGCTTGTCTTTGACATAACTTGTTTTAGAATTGAGTTTAATATATGACCATTTTGACTCAAACTATGCTTATACCAAAAATTAACCTGTCTGTTAATTTAAACATGACTTGCAAACTTGAATTGCAATCCTATCTTGAGGTTTTAGGCTATGTTAGACTGAGATCTAGTTTGGTTTGTGTTTCTTACCTTCTGTACTGAACAGGCACTATTCCTGCTTTATATTGAGCTATATGTTGGAAAACAGGTTGGGAGAGATCAAAGTGTCTTAAAGGAGGGTTACACCATCCTCCTGCATTATTTGGGAGAGCATTGTTTGGAGGGCAGAAGTTCGTTGCTGTGACTATGATGGATCCTGGGAGACACCACCTATTGTCATTAATACATTTGATTTCAAAGCATGCCCCACAAGTCAGCCCTTGGTTGAATAGGACAGTACTCAATGCAGCAGTGCTTGTGCCATAACCTTGGCTATAGAGATTTCCATAGCCACATGCTCCTCCTACAACATTTGGAAAAGTAGCTGAGAGAGAGAATCGTGGAAAGGGGATTAATAATGAATTCTCTTGCATTGTTTCGTTCTTACCCATTGTACCAGAAGATCACCTCCTCCATAGAAGGTAGCATGAGCATTAGACCATCACCTCCATATCCATGAATTGTCTTCAACATGGCAAGAGAAGACACAAGAAAAATTCCAAGAAAATCCATTTTCTGCAGAAGCAACCAACATTCAAATATCAGCATTTTTTGAGATGAACTGATATGGAAAGGGTTATATAAGTTTGGGAATGAAAAGATGCAGTATATAGAGAAAATGATTCTTGTTCTTACAAGGCCAGAGTTAACTTTGAAAACTTTGACTTGGAGAACAGAGCCAATGAGAATTGAGAAATAAGGTAAGAAAGACGGGGTGAAGTCTATTTATAATGTGTGTGACAGAGGACAGACTGACGGAGGGAGGGAGGGTAGCAGAGGAAGGTGTTGGGTAGATGCTACAAGGTTTAAGGGTATCTTTTTCTTCTTTTTATTTTTTTTTCCATACACAAAAGAATAATTGACATCCTTATCTTTTGAAAGACATTCGCAGTGTTACTTTTGCACACATCATATAAAAGAGAAAGGAAAAGAAGAATAATGTATTAACCGGAAAAAGAATCCTCTAATAGATTGGACCCATGTTCTTGTTGACTTTCCTCTAGGACTTTAACCAGGAAAAAGTGTGGGAAAAGGTTCTCTGCATCTGTTGATGTCCAAAAACATTTTGTAAACTTCCTTTTGCAATGGTTTAAGCACAATCCTGGCTTACAATTAAAGATCCTGAAGAATCCTTCCAGGATGTGAATCTTGTGCAAAGGATTAATGTTATTTGAGAGAAATTTGTCGAAGAAGTGATTTGGTACCCATGAGGGTTGGAAAGATAAAAAGGATGCAAGACAGACCGTGCCAACTAAATTGCTTTGAGTCTCTAATTTTATGCTGATAAGAGGAGATTTTGTCATGATGTTACAAGGGAACCCCAAAAGAGTTGTCAGGTCAGGTACTACTTACATTACTGGTCTGATATTTTTACAGCATACTGTTGATTTTCTATTGTTTGGAGAGCACTTCACGGTTGGACGAAAAGAAGAGAAATATCAGAGTTCATTTCATCACCATATTCGACTGAAATATATGCCTGTGCTATATGCAGAAGCCATGACACTCCTTTCTGGATGCAAAGTTAAACTGACATCATATGCAGAAAGTCAATATTCCTACCAATTTTGCCTGGATCAGCATTGATTGGAACTTGGAACTATGAAAGAGATAAGGGGTTTCTATTACTTTGAAGAATTGTCATCCACATCCTCTCGTGCTCCCAGAGAACAATGGTAGCTTTTGGAAGTCCATTTTAAGGATCAGTCAAAAAAAATTTTCTATCACCAAGTGCTTATGCAGAGAATAAACCTCTTAATGCTGTGTACGTTCAACGGTTATGTTAATCATGGATTAATGTTTAAATTTGTTTAACTTGACTTGTAATTATCAGTAATCTTCTATTCCCCTTCAAGTCTGTCATGCAGATTCCATGAAACAAAATTCCTATTGGAAAAACTCATCTAGCTTTTCGAAATCAGTGCAGGAAGAATCCGTGTGAAAGTACATGCTCAAGCTAGCTAGTTAGCCTCCCTACCCTGAATCGAATATAGGCTATGAAATGTCATAATCAAAGTGTTGGGCATGTGGCAAACCGCCCATCTCAGTTAGTAAAGATATTGGAATGTATATCTTTTCTACCCTTCCTTTCTCATTATACTTTCATTCTCTTTGCTTTTATCCATCTTAGCTGTGTCCAGTTGACAACCCTTTTCATTGTCTCCATGCCGCAGTTCCCTTGAAGAATATGAAGCTTATTATAATCTTTACAGCTTGAAAGAACTCATATTAAAATTGAACCTCCTTTTTCACGACGTTCCAGGCATGTTTATGTGATCAATATTTCTAAACTAAGCTGGATTGTTTTCCTACAATTTCAATGGCCATTTTAGTTAACTGGTAAGATATCATGCAAAAATCTCATTTTGATTTCTGGGAGCATTAATCATTGAATACCTTAATGGGAGGCAATCAGCCAATCAACCATTCACTCGTGCAGCTGTTCATGATTGATGAATCCTTTTTGTTTAGAAGTACTCTCATTGAAGCAGAGAAACAGTTAGATGCCTTTTGTTTTTTATTTTACAGTTGTCCTCCCAGTAGCAACTAGCCAACTGTCTTCTACTTAGATAAGCTTGGGAATTTAGAATCTCACCCTCTATAACAGAAAATTCCAGTTCTGATGAAATTTTTTTTTCTCTGAGAATTGATCAAGAGCAGGGGGAAAATATAATTTACTTGATAGAATCCTGACATACCATTGATTAAGAATTAGGAAATAATTCTTAGGTGACAAATGGCTATATCTGTTTCACCTAATTCATGTTAACCATAGACCACTTATTGTTCAGAAATTTTTCATTTGATCAGGTAGATTCCTTTTGGATAAGTTCTACCTAATTAAAATGTTATTTTCCATCACTCTTGTGAGTAAAAAGTTAAAAAGTTCTATGCTCAGGGTTTTGATTATATTGAGGACAAACTAACACTCAGATGACAAGTTTTATAATAATCTTTCTCTGTCATCACTCATCAAGTTCCAGAGTACTGTAGAATATATTGTTCATTTCAGAGAACTACCAACCAGATCATGGTAGTTTGAATAGGCCACAAAGGAAAGGATAAATAAACTCCACAACAGATATCAAACCCCACAGAATAACAACATATCAAAGCAGGCCATGGCATAGACCTAAGTTAGTTGAAAGTTCATACACCGAACTGCACATGGGATCACATGGCCAACTTGTTCAAGCAATAGAATAAGGTCAAAAGAAAAGCCTAAAGGGCCTAGTTGAGTACCTTTGCGCATACAATTTACCCCACATTTTATCCAAAATAAACGCTTCCCAAGATTCAGAGAGACTAAAAACTTCCAAGGCAACTCTGAGCCACACGAAGCCAGAAGGCAACTTTGTTGTGGAAACCACTGATCTACATGATGGAGAGTCCACTGGGATTTGCTTGTTCACTTCTGTTGTATTGGCCACTTCGAGTTGAGGCCCGCGTGCACAATATTTTTTAACGGAGAACAACATGTGAGTACATAATTCAAACAGCGACCTCTCAAAACTGGCATGCACTGAAATTGACATCCAGTGGAGTCCATGATAATTAGGATTTATACTTTTATTGTCTCCAAAAAGCAATGGATCATGAATTAAAGGCTTCTCTGCAATGTGATGACACAGTATCCTAGTTTTAAGTATAGTGAAGTCAAATATCTTGTGCTTGTCATTCAACTATTGCTCTAGAGTAATAAGGCCCCAGCAAACAAACTCTTTATTAAGCTCCCACCCGACTGGAATTAGTGTATAATTATAGAGTACGAAAGCCATCGCTGGCCTTGTCTCATTGCCTACTGACCAAACATACATATTTTGCACTGTCAAAGCAAACACCACCAACATCTGCAGTAAAAACACAAGATGAAACATTTCCAATTTAAGCATGAAAAAATAAACCTCTAATTTTCAAGGTCTAGTCCCTAAAATTAGTTTCCATCCCCGTCAAACTTCCTGTATGCTGCATCATAGATCAAATAGGTAGCTGATTTCATAACACATTAGATACAAGCAATATAGACTTGCTTGCACCCATATTTTGATTAAGCAAGCAATAAGGCATGCAAGATGTTCTTTCTACTATATTGAGAAACGAGACCAGAGTAAAAAGATAATATATTGAAAGGAAACAAAAAGTTCACAAAATGACTAAATCTATCTATTTGCAAGTGAATTACATATCTGTAACTACTGAATAGATGCTCAATGTCGAACCGCTTCCCTGCTTGAAGAAGAAGATGATCCGATCCTCTGGAATACCTTGGTGCTAAATATATCTTTACTTACTTTCCCTTTAAACGTGAAATGCTTCTTAAGACGATTTTTTATCGAAGAACCACTGTCATTCCATCGTGGGGCCGGTCGAGGCCAGTTTCTCCTTATTTTTTCCTTGATATGATTTGAGACTTCGTCATCTTCCTGGTCTTCAGATATCATGGCACCCCTGCTCCTCCGCAAAGATCTTAAAGCCACTTGCAAAGGTTCTGAAACTGATGCAGATTCTTCTAGTGCTCCAATGGTTTTGAGGCACAATGGGCAGGGAGGATCATGAATCTGGGACTTTGGGGTAACTTGCTCCAAGCATTCAGCATGGAACACATGGCTGCAGGGTAGAACCCCAGCAATTGGCATGTCACCACCTCTAATTATTCGATGTGAACTCCAGGGGGACTTCTGCCACAAAAGTTTTCCACAAACCCCACACTTGTGGTCTACTACAGGACCAATGGGGGACCTCAGGCGCTCTACATCCACATGCTCCGCCATGTCAAACTTTTCTCCATCTAACCCCAGATCATAACTACTGGCACTGCTCCACCTAAAACCTTCTCTTCTAGAGCTTGCACTGGGGTCTGGTGATGCTTCAGACCTTTGAAGATCAGAAAGGGTTTTGTGAAACTTGTGCTCAACACTAGAACTGTTTTCATGCCAGTGAAATGGTGAGAAGTGATCCTCAGTAGGTGTCAACCTGCCAACACTGTTAATGTCAGCATCACCAAAGGCTTCATTATCTGACACAGGGTTGCGAAACACTAGTGGGTAAACAGCTTTTGACATGTAAGAACGTCGACCAGAGAAGTTGCGGTTAGGAAAAGAGAAGGGCTGCTTGCTAGTGGATTCCCAGCGACTAGACTCAGAAAGTGAGGAAGGGGATCCAAAGCTAGGGGAAGCTGCAGTTGCTTTAACAGCATATCGCCTCTGCAAGAAGAACACCGAAAAGGGGAAATTGCTTAATAGTAAACTTTTCTTATTTAACTGCTACGAAACCCAACAAGTTGAAACACAAGTCACCTCAGTGGAGCAAGGGAACCAAGAGGTCTGGGGCATTGGTCCTGATAATTAGAACTAGGTTAATGAAGCAAACATATGATAGTGCAAATAATACAAAACCTAAACAACGGAGACTGCAGTCCATAGTCAAATCAGAATTAAGAAATATAATTACTCCATCCTAAATCATATAATATGTACTTCATTTTGGTTGACTGGACAAAATCCAGGGAAAGAAGCTTGGCTAATTAGCTGTAGCCTTCTAAAAGAGGGAGAGAAGAAGAACTAGTGAATTTGATTTAGTATATTAAGAAAAAAGGTATCATGTCATTCCTCACTTCCAACATCTTTGCTATTACAATTTCATGTTCAGACTACAAGTGGCTGCTTCTGGAAACACCCATAACTTTTACAATTTCACAAAATGTATCAAGTTTTAGAAGCATGTTCAACATATTATAATCAGCATTTTACTATTGTGCTGTAAGAGAAACTACCATTCATTGCAATGTGTAAGAGCCTTTAATTAAGAAGCACAACAGCATGAATCGTTCAATTTATGCAATAATCCTAAAGGGCTGAATCAGCCTATCCCCACAAACCAATAAATAAATAGATATCCACATTTCACCGCTCAACCCCAGCCACCGTCACCTCCAAACAGAAACTTGGAAATAAAACACATTAAAGTACACTACAAGCTAGGATTGGGTCAACTGAGGTGATTCTGCCAGCAAAAGCTGCATCTCTTTTTTCCAATTTTTCTTTTAACTTTTTGCCAGATGAATCTCAGAAGCAACAAAAACTCATTATGAAGGAGAGCTGGCTACATCACAGGCGGCAGACAAGTTTCAATGCCTAAAATAATCACTAATAGAGTATCTCTAAATGTTTAATGAGCTATATTAACATTTTAAAATTATCCTCAACGGGAATGAGGAAATTGTTTCATTCACAGAAGTAAAACATATTTGAAGAGAAAATTATTTGCCAGTCTGAAGGACCTTTTAGACATTCTTGCTATTTAGATACGTATTTAATTCTAACAAGGTGTTGGTTCAAATGAATTTGTTATAATGAGAAATGAACCTAATATTCTATCTATCCTGTTATTTCGGAGAAAAAATCATTTTCCAGTTTTGTGCTTATACATTCTTGAACAACTCCTTCAATGAAAAGACAGAATGCTGTTATGGAAAATCATAAAATTAAAATTGGTACAATAAGGCAATCATATGACAATATAAATCATGAATGCTAAGGCAGAGAAGAGAATGGTAATCATAAGAAACAATCAGTAATGAACAGTTAAGTATTCATTGCAATGTGACATAAAGATTCTAAAGACTGCAAAAATTTTACAATATCATGCCACCCATTTGTTCCAATTTTGACCAATTATGTTATCAGTATTTCTTTCATCGGACCTTCATTTCAGAAAAGGTAATAACTATGATTACAATTTCTGGTTTATGTAGAGAAAGTACCATGACATTCAGCATACTATTAAGTGGGGAAAAAGATAAAAAGAAAATGCCCTAAGACATGCAGCTAAATTGACTAATTGACGACAATTAACACAGAAAGTGGCATGTGACATATGATTATATGACTAAATCTGCCAGTGAAATAAAAATCAAACTTAAGCAGGGCATGTCATGCTAGGTAACGGAAGAAATATCAACTTTAGATTACCTCCGACATTAGAGGCAGGGAGCTCCTCTGTATTGAACCTTTGAATGGGTGATGTCCATTGTGGTAGCTGAGCATTATCAGGTGGGCTGCCAGAATAAGAGAGTGCACCATCAGAAACAGAATGGTGATGGTTGATGTACCCTTCACTGCCTACCCTGCTTCTGCTACCCCTGCTATTTGAGGATAGTGATGAACCATGTAAACCAGCACAATGTGACCCATGTGGCAAACCATCTGAATGTAACCTACAGTCCAATATCCTCAATGGAGGAGGTGAGAAACTAGAGTTTATCCTCCAATGTGGTTCATCATGATCCATGGAATCCCTTCTGCTTGTTGGTGATTTTGTTCCATGTGGCCCAGTGGCCACACAACAAAGCGCACCCGTATTAGCTATTTTCTATTGGCACAATAAGGTTGTCCAGTATTCTATTTTAAGATTTTCACAAGTATGGAACTCCACATGCTTATCAGGAACAAAGCATAGTCAAATGTCAACAAAATTAATCCACGGAAATATATTGAAGCCAACAATTATCAACTTGAGACTTGAACCAAAACAGAAGACATGTTAGATTTTCATCTTCGGAGGCATAATAATGGGAGGCAGGCACGCACTTAAGAAACCTTCCACTTCAACTAGGATTCATCAAAAATCTGCTATTCCTGTTTGCATTCATCCATTTGAGCAATGTAATGAGGAACTCAATAATTATGGTCTATCCAGAGGAAAATAAAACTAAATTGCTATAGATATAAAATACAAAAATAATGACAATGAAGTGGATAAAACAATAATATAATAGCTAACATCATGTATTTTAGGCTAACATAGACAGAGAATGAAATACTAGTAAGGCATTATTTTAAAAGTGGAAATCCGTCAAAACTTCACCAAGCAATATCATACATGTAGACACACAGACAATCTTACTCAATAGAAAAGACAATCAGTAAGCTGTACAACAAAACAGTGCAACACTAATTGCTGCAAGAAGTGCATAGAAATGCTGTTGATTACAAGCTTCACACTTTATACCTTGGCATGAAAGCTAAATGCAGCCGCAATTTGCCAACTTTTATAATTTTTGTATATCCTTATCCTCCTTTAAACCTTTTTGTCTTTTTAGCTGCACTTCTGTCTGAATAATCCTAGATTTGAACAAATATATGTTGGTGGTGAACACAGCCAAGATTATCGGCGAAACGCAATAACAGACAGTAAAAATCACAAACAAAGCAGGCAAGTCTTCATTGACAGTACCAAAACCTGGAAGAATTTCTGAAGAAGTCTCCTAAAAACATGAAGAGTGTCAACAAACATGGGGTAGAATAATTTGTTTTTTAACACTTTTAAACCTAAGATTATGTTCAGAATAATACACAAATCCAACTCATGATCAATCATTGGAAAAAAATTAAAAACCTCTCTTCCAACTACTAAAACCTCATAAAAGGAAATGATAACCCCCCCCCCCCCCCCCGGCTCTCCCTTCTTCAAATACATCAATGGCCCCCAAAAATTTCAAACTTTGCATTAAAAAATAGCAACTACCCAGAAAAGAAAAACATTCTAAAACCTAAAAAATGATAAAAATGAAAAAAAAAAAAACCAAAAGATCAAGCAGCTTCTTTTTATAACATTAAATCAGCAAAAAAAAAACTATAATCCCAGACCAAAAAAAAAAAACATAATGAAGAGAGAAAAGAGGGTACCTTTAAGGTCCAAATTTGAACTGGGACATGAAGAAATCCGGGGGAGGTTTTAAGTGAAGAAAATAAAAAGAAACCCTAGCTGTTTTTAAGCTTTTTATAAACTGTTTGTGTCTCCGTTTCGTTTCTTTGTTTTTGTTTGGAGAGAAAAAATAAAAGAGAAAAGGAAAATGGAAATGAGACAAAGAGAAGGTGAACGAAGAAAAAGGTGAACAGAGCTGACATGAAGTGAAAGTGATGGGGGCATCACATTGTTATTGCAACAACATCGTTAGATTACGATCATGTCGTTATCCTTTTTTGTATGGATTTGCAATAACATTTCTTTTTATTTTTTATTAAATTTAGGTATTTCTTTTTTTTTCTTGTTGGATATAATATATTAACATTCAAATGCATAAAAAAGGTGTAATGATTATTTCTTGAAGAACTTCTCAAGTTTTAGAGAAATAAAGATGAATACGGTCGTGAATGAACCACTCAATTCCAAAGAAACAGAAAATTCAATAGAAGGTTTATTTTCTTTATCAATTCTTTTCCATCATTATTTAAAATCCATAAAAACAAAATTAAAACTTTGTTCTGCTTCTTAAATTAAAAGAAAGAAAAACACTTAAAATTTGAAAGTCCCAAGAGTCAACAAAAAGAATAATTGTGGAAAATCAGCATCGACCTTATTATAATGGATTTTCCTTTAAATTAAAAGAAAAAAAAAAGATAATGTTCATGACTAAACTATTCAAGATTCACCTAAAAATTCATAAGACCAGTTGGAAAATATGTTAAAAACGATTAAAACCATTGACTACGAACCTAATCACCTTTAGACTTTAAGATAATCAACCACTTATTATGAAATTTTAGGTATAGCTCCACCTACACCCATTTCCATTCAAAATTTCATTTATTATTTTTTTACTTTGGATGCATGCATTAAGAAAAATTAAATTCCATTTTTTATGTACATTAAATTAGATTAACTCTATCATAACTCTTATCGCCTTGTTTCTACAGCTACATTCAAAATCCAAACCTAATTTTCTCATATAAGAAGATAACCAACAAGTTTTATGGTTAGCGAACTTAAAAGGAATAAAAAACATAAAATTGAAAAAGAAAAGATATAATACTTATTTAAAAAAATTATATTCTTTTATTATATTTAATCAATCTTTTATAATTTTATTCAGTAAAGAAATCTTTATAGGTAATGCTTAACAAATCAAAATGTCATTTATAATTTTTTATGATATATGATATTGACGTGACATACTAACATGTTATAATAGATAATAATATTACATGTTAATGTAATATTATGACATAATTATGTAATATTTTTTACTTTTTATAATAATACCACATCAATATCAAATGGATATAAAATGATAATATAATATTTTAAATAATAATAATAATAATTAATAATTAATTATCAAAATCTATTTGATTCAAAACAAATGAGAGAATTTTGGGTTTTAAGTATTTGTTTTTCCAATATTGGGCCGGGGAATGTGTTGTGGTCCTTGTGGAGAAAAGCTCGGACAGCCCTGTTTCAATCTTGGTCCTAAGCTAGGAAATCAGAATGTCTGTAAAGGTGGATTTGGGCTAAAGGCTTTAACCCTTGGACGAGCCCAGAAGTGAGGCCAATCTGTTGTACACTAAGCCCTTACATACATATCCAGGCCCTGATATGGTCTCTTCTATCAGTGGCCTGGCCCAAGTAATGACTTATTATCTCAATATTAAATTTTTATGTAAATAAATACAAATAATAATAATATTTTTAATAGTATTTATTTTTTAATAGAAAATTCTAATTATTGATATAAAATGTTAGTATTTCCTTCACAAGAAATAACCTAATCTGAATGCATAATATAAACCTTAATTCAGCTCATGAAATGTACGGATTGATTAAATTTGTAAAATACCAAAGCACTGCATTAATCATGCAGCATTTGTCTTTGCCTTGCTTGATTTATGAAAGTTTGTGTTAACTCTGTATACATTATGGGATATGGTGAGAGAGAGAATAAGGTGCAAGTTACAAGGAAAAATAGAAAGAAAAGAAAACAAACATTTTTTTTCCCTTATTTTACTTATATGGATTTGAGCTTTGAGCTGGAAATGACATTCACATGCATATAGTTGTCTGTTTAATTATATTAAAATAATTTATTAAATTAATTATCAATTATTGTTATCTCTGTTAAAAAAAATTCTTTATCACTTTTCCCTATAAGATTCGAGGTTGTGTAACATTGTTCGATTTTTTTTTATTGGTTTGAAAATTTTCATGATCTTTTGACAATAAAAAATAATTTTTAGAAGTTTGTATATATCTCTTTATTTAAAAATAAAATAACTATTAAGTCAAACCCAAATAATTTTAAATGAATTAATATGAATACATTGAATTGTATTCTACCCATACATGCATCACAATGTCCTTTTACTTTGACGTGAAGCAAAATAGAATAAAGACCTTTCTTTCAGCTATAGAGTCATGCTTAACCTTTAATTTAATAATGGAAAAAGTTAATAATAAGGCCAAGTTTTGATTTTCAAAGAATGTATAGTTAGGAGTATTAATTAGCTGTCGAGATTAGCATGGACATGATGTCCAACAACAATGAGAGTTTTACTAGGCCACATTTGAGTTAGGAAATGCGAGTTCCAAAGAAAAATCTACGTCTTGGATTCTTTGCTAACCAAACCCACTTCTGAAGAAACATAGCTCTTTCATGGCTTTGGCTTTAAGAAATTCCCCGGGCCTGTTGTCCCTATTCCGGTTTGTCACTTATAAATGAATGCCTTTGTTTCATTTTGCTTGAGACAAAGTGGTTAGTACTAGTACCAAGATTTCTGTATTGCTATTTTCCTTCTTCTTGCATGTGATGACTCTTTATAGGTTCAAAAACTAGACTAATTTAAAAGAATCAAAAGTCATTTCCCTACAGTTTTCCTTAAACTGGTTTGTGAAAAAAATTAAAAACAATTATGGAACCTTTGATTCACAATTCAATATATTGATAACTTTACTCACAATAACTTGATTTACGATTCAACTTAAAAATAATTACATTTCAAATTAAATTATTTGATGACTCAACTTATTTTCAAACAGATAATTTTTCAGACTAATCATAGTAGCAGCGGTGGTTAAATTCTAAACTTGTAAACATAGCTAGGAGAGAATAAAGTTGATTAGTTGGTAGAATGAACCACTTTTTGACAACCGAGATGGTAATCAATCTAAATTTTTGTCAGGTTCCTGCCTGAATCACTGGATTGAAGGCGACTGGCAAAGTCCAGGGTGCCCATACGGGGGACTAAAAGCCAAGAGAATTCCGCGCTTGTTGAGCACTGCTAGATCAAGTAAAGGCTACCAAGCTAGTTGGTTTGTTTTCCTATTACGGTAGAACTTAGCATCCTTACTCTCCGAGGTGAGGCATCAAAGTATACTGGTAGATTTTAGTCTCCAATTCGATGTGAAATTTCGAAATACTAATTAAGGGAACGCAAACTTGATTGGCTGACCATATCTTTGTCTCGAGGTATGCTTGACATAGCTTGCATTTCGTGCCACATGATCTATTGTTTCTGCATACCAAGACGTCGAGAACCTCAAAAAAGGGCAGAAGGAAGACACCCTTTTTTTTTTAATATTATATTTTTAAAATCGTGGAATGATTTCTGATGCCATGAAATGGAGGAAACACCAATTATTATTTTATGCTGACTCCTGATGATGACCTTTTCTTCTTTTGTCTTCTACCTATCAACATGTTAAGGGCACTTTTTTCCAAGCAGAAACCCTTATGAATGAGATCTTCTCATCCTTCTGTTGCAAATGGTATTTGCTGCTATTGGATTTAGTGGAAAACAATTCATCCATTCTAGACACTTATGCCGCCCAACACCTCTTTTCTGTTGTGTAAGATCCACTACTCAAGGGATCAATGACTAAATGATAAAAATTGATGGGGTAAGTTTCACCTAATTAATGTCATTATGCTAACACATGTCTCTGAAATTCTTGGTTAAAAGCCAATTTCCTATGGCAATGGCCGTCAATCTGACATTTCGAGCGTCAGTTTAGGTAAAAGCTTCAAGAGTTCAGCCCTGAAAAAGGGAAAATGAAATGCAAGATCAATCAAAGATATGGGCTTCACCTTTTTGTCTAGGAAAGCAGACAATGGAAGGACTCGCTTTTTGGCAAACCAAGGTAAAATGGGCGGTAGGGAAACGTATTCAAAACTAGGACTAGTACAGCAGCACTAATGTTTATTGTATTGAGTGCGAAGCAGGGCCTAGATCCTCGAGTCACTCATTTCCCTAGATCATCCGTGTTTGCAGGACTCCCACTTGATTTTATATATTCCCCCTGCTCCATAAATTAATGTATCCCTCAATCGAAATACAACTACGTACTCTTTCACTTCTGTTTATCTACTATACAGCTCGCCTTTCTCTTTTAATACAATTACTGACAGGCTGATGTTTATCAGTGAAGCTCAACATATTTTATTTAGAGTTTTCTTCTTTGTTCACGTACGTGTACATGTGTATATATACATAGAAAGAGAATTTGAAAATTATTGTAATAGCTGTTTATAGCAATGTATTATTATACATTGTATGCCTATACAGAGTCAAAATCAATGGTCAATTAGCCTATCACATGTTGAAAACTCAGCGCATCCTGATTAATGGTGTACCAGATATAGAAAATGAGAATTTTCCTGGTAATCCAATACTACCTGTCAATAGAGAGATGGGACAGAGAAGGAAACCTTATCGCATATTCCACTGGGACCAAGTATGAGATCTGGAAGAGCTGTACTCATCACCTCGAAACTAGATAAATTGCTGTATCAAAAATATCACCATATCATCACTGCCCCTTTCTCTTTCACTTTCATTTCTATATAAGGCCGAGCTTATCAACCTCCTCTTCATTTCATTCAGCACTGTTTCATTTTTTTTCTTGCCCATTCAAATAACTCCAAACTCTTTCTTTTATGATCAATTAATACCCTTTGCTTCACTCTTCTGATGTTGGGGTTTCTTTCAACTATGGTCGTTCCACTACTCACCGGCAGCCTAGCATTTAGGCCTAGAAAGGATGGTGCAGCCAAGGATGACTTGCCGACTACTCCCTCCAGCCTTTGCTGTACTGTTTTTATATTGAAAAATGGATATAGATGAAGTGGGCAAGTTGTCTTTGGCTACATTTTTCTTTCTCCTCCTCATGCTAGGCTTTTGGTGATAAACATATACTATTTCCTATTACAAGGAAATTGATCTTCCTTTGTGTTACGAAAGGGTCTCTACGAAATCCAATGCTTTCATCGGCCATATATTGTTTTAGTTATTTTAAATATATACAATTAACATTATTACACTTTCTCTCTGTGTTAAACATTAGAATATTATGAGATTTTATTCTTTGTATCATCCATGGGCGCCCAAGCTTATGTAGTGTATTGTATTCTTTTTTCTAAATTTTTATGATAAAATGTGGTTTGGTCACTTGAATGATCTGTTCATACTATTGTTTATGACTCTTTTAATTATGTTTAGTCTGATATAATTGCAATTGTTATGATCATATTTTTTATCAAAGGCTTTAAGTATGCTTGAGAATGTGATTGCAAGACAGCACAACACTTTGGGCTTTCACCACCAATCAAACGTACTGTCACTATACATGATCTGTTTATCCAGCTTGATTACCTTAACAACTAGGATTGAGTTGAAGACAAGACTGCAAAGAAAAAAGATCCTACTTTGTTCGCGCATGTGGTCGGTACAAAGAAGAAGATTCGAACATTAAGCTCAACAAGGCTGAACAAATGGACCATGGATCTTACAGTTGGGGAAGGGACTTCTTGTAGGGACAAGCCTGACTCTAGCCTCACATGTCTTTTAGGCCACAAGTTGTAGGCCTTCAGCCTCTAAACACACAAAAGATTTTAGTTGGACCAGGCTTGAATAAGATGCTAAACCCAATATTCTGATCTGGGTAATAAGGACAACAGGCTGTGTGTGTTTTTCTAAGATGACAAATCCAAGACCCCAATTCAGTCATTGCACTGTTTTACCTATTTTCATAATTAAAAAAAAAAACACTCTATATAATTTTTCAATCAAGATTGACGTCAAAGTTGGATTGCTTAGTTTAAGTAAGTCAAATACTATTTATTGTGTACTGTTTGGTTGGAAGTATCATTGGTTTTTTTTTTTTTTAATTTGATATACCAAAAGAATGAGGTAAGTAGTTATAACATTGGTTGAAGATATAATAAAATTTATAATTAACGGTTTATTAATTATTATTATTAATTAAAATATTATTTATTATTTTTATATCATATAATATAATATTAATGTGATATGATAATTTATTGATATGTCGTAAAATATGATAAAATAATATATTAATGTTATATAATTACATAATTACGTGATATTTTTATTATTTATATTAACTTCAAGTCATTATCATGTAAATATAAAAATGATAAATTTTATTTTAATTAATTATTAATTATAAAAATTTATTTAATTTAAAATAAAATATTTTAATTTTAATTAAAAAATAAAGAATCTTTTTATATTTTTTAAGTAATTGGTGAGTTTTTAACAAGTTGATATATATAAGTTTTCTTTTTGATAAGATATGTACAGGGTATTGATTGTATTGTATCCAATAACTGTAGAAACGTTTATCTAATAACTTAACGAAAATAGTAAAACAACTTTGGTGTTGTCATTGGGTGAAATAAAGGAGAAAAGAAAGGTCACATAGTTGATCATGGTGGTGTCGACTCAATTGGCAGTAGCCAAGGTCTCTTGTCTAGGAAGAAAGACACGTTTCAGGCATCCAAGATGTCCAGGACTAGTTAAAAGGCCCTGCTTGCCTAATCATCTTGCATATTTTCACAATTCTCGGAAGCAAAAAACAACTTCTCCTAAACTTCCACTCAATTCCTGGATCTCACAAATTAGAAAAGAAGAAAAAAAAGCGTGTAGGCCCCCAAACAAGGTGACTTTGAGGCTAATGCATCCAGGCAAACACTTGAATGGATATGCCATGGACACATGGGAACATAAGAGAAGAGGGTCGAATAAATCATGTTAACTTCAAACTTGTCAGATGATGGAAGAACATGGAAACAGGTTGGACACCTGGGAGGAGCTGAAGGGAGCTTTGGGATCTTGAAAATACTGAAATTGTGTTAAGTGGATTGGATTGTTGGGGTTAACCCCACATCTTCACTCATAATAATAAATCAATGTTTTTCCTGTTTTCTGTAAAAGCAAGGTAGGCCACGTTGATGCATCTCCATACACACACGCAAGCCTTATCCAACCTTTTCCTTAACCAAGTTCTTTGGCTTCTTGCTTCTCTTTTTCCTATTCATCCAATTGTTCTCTTGTCGTCCACCCAACCACGTCAAACTTTTTTTCTTCTGTTTCTCTTTCTCTTTTCTCGTTGTGCAGATTCTGTTTCTTGTTACATAATCATCCTAGGATGAGTTCAAACCGTCGAGAACAGTCTTGAATAGGAGATGAATGTAATATTTGATGAAAAAAGCTCTAACCAATGCAAAGGAGATGATATAAGTTTCATTTTAAACAGGTAGGCGTAATGAGATTTTTTGACTATTTTGATAATGTTGAGGAATTAGAAAAACCAATGAGCTGGGACCTGTTCTGGCCTTGTCATGAATTAGACAACCCTCCAATTTTGAATACGGCGATTGATGATGTCCAGTGTCCAGGCAGAATTCCGTACATTTCTTGAAGCTTCTACGATTGCTAGACCATCAAAAACTAGATATTTCCTTTCAGTTTTTGATAGAGGACACATGGAGGAGGACACTTTTGTTTTCGGCACCGTATTTGTCGAAGGCAGAGAAAGGAGAGAAAATGCATTGCCTCAGCCAATTTTGAGTAGTCCTTTTCCAGGATGCCCACATTAACTAAGATATTATCCATAAACACCCAAAAATGAAAATAGAAAGAAAAGGAGTTATGATTCTTGTTTGAATCACAGATCCCAGTCACTTGTTCTGAATGATTGAGGCTGGGGATCTTTTTCCATTTTCTTTAGGTGGAAATGGTGAAATCTGAGGTACCTATTTGTCATTAACATACCATCCACATCTTACGAAATATCCCATGTACAAGCTGTGTGATCCAAGTTCAAAAAATAAAATAAAAGGCAAGGTAGTAATTAATTATCATTCATAGTATTATATTATCCAGTACAGATATTCTGTTTCCAACACAAAAAAGGGGAAAAAAAGAAAAAGAAAATAAAAAGGCTTTCAATTTCTATAACAATACATACTAAGATTTTTACATTCACCGAAGGGGGTTTCCTTTAAACAGTAAAAAAAACAACTCAACATATACACAGCTAGTTGCTCTTCAAACACCCTTGAATCAAGCAGGCTAGGATCCAAAAAAATAAATCCAAAAGCCTGCAACTCCATGGGAAGACAGGATGCCGTATGGCTTAGCCTCTACTATGTTGTTCATTTCGAACATTAATATTAGTACATGAAAGACGAACATGGAAATAGTACTGTAGCAACTGTACAGTGACAATAGCGAGGAGAATATGGCTAGCAAAAAACTAAAATCATCTCCCAGCACCAACCATGGATTTCTCCTCACTCTCTTTAAGCTTTAAGGATGTTGCAGGACGAGGGAAAGGAAGCTTTGTCCCGGAATCAGATAGAACTTCTTTTGATACCAGAATCTCTTCCTGTGCAGGAACAGGTGAAGGTTGAACTGTTTTTGGTGTGTAGTTGAAGGAAAGATCTTTGTTGGCAGCCAATGCCAAAAGCTCCTTCTCCTCGAGCCCTTTTGTTGGCCCTAGGCTGCACCGATCTGGCGTGTGCTTGGCCAATGCATCTTTGAATTTTTTGATCTGTGGAATCATCATTGTAATTAGAACATGCATCGTGATAAACATGGTGACAATTGACAAACAACACACATTATGACCTAATCATGCCATGTCAAGATACAAAACCAGTTCAAATGAGCAGCAATTTATCTGTCAACAATCTCAGAAATTAAGTGTAAGCAACAAAAATAGCTGGTCTCAACAACATTAAAAAGCCAATTGATAATTAATATGCACCAAGCAATTTTCATAAAAGTGATTCCAGCTAGGAGAAATTAATGCCAATCTGGCTCTTACATCTTGAAATACGTAAATTAATTGACAAATCCTGAGGGAATTGTGCATTTTTCCCACTGGAATTCAAGACCCAAATATTCAAGTGGCATGCATCATACATAAAAAAAAAATTAGCCAAAATGACAAAATAGGCTTGTTTGCATTCTAATTAGTAAACATATTAATAATATTTGCATCAACAGGGAGGGATACAAGACTAACCGTGGCATTGGTGCAGCTAAAGCTGCATAGACGCCCGTGAGCTCCTCTATAGAACCGGAAGAAAGGCAGCACGTGGACATTCAGACTATAGCACATTGATTTCTGTTCCTCATAATTCACCTGAAGCAACTGCACTTCTGGATTCATCTCTGCCAATTGACATATCTGCCAAACCCCAACATCAAAATCCACAATGAATCCAAATACAAACAATACAAAAATCTGGAGTTGCACAACTATGCAAAAGCACATATGTAAAACTGTAACTTTATATTATTATACCTTGGGATGGAGAGCCTTGCAGCCACCACAACCAGGGGAGAAGAAATCTACTACAACAAGTTTATCCCCAGCATTCATAAGAGAGTCTACCAGGTCTTGGGCAGATGTCACCTCTTTCATATTTGGTTGCAGCCCCTTCTCCCACCACTTTTGACTTCTGCCGATAAGGCCAGTCTGCATCTAATTCCGTTAAAAAAGACCAGAAAAATGAAAAACCAATTAGTATTCCCGTATTGGTCTTTGCAACATATCAAATTATGGGGAAAAAAGGAGCTCTAATCATAAACCAAATTACTTAACCTTTTTCCAAAAAATAAAAAGGAGGGATACAAAATTTACTGAAAAATCGATCTTCAAAAATTCTATTGCTTATACTATTTAACTAAGAACAAAAATCCAAATTTTTTAGATAAATAAGGTGATTTCTATTTAAGATTGGATCTTTGGCATGTGAAAACTAAGCTAAGAGCTAACTCTAGAAAGCTAATATTACATAATGAAATTAACAAGCAATTCAAAATTTTCAACTAACAAAAAAAATCATAAAATAAATTTAAGAAACAATACTCACTAAAGATAAAATTAAAGAAAACCAAAAAATTTCAACAAAACAGAGACAAAGAAGGAAGATCCAGAAACAGAGAAATGAAAAATAAAGTTAAACCAACCTGTGCTTTGATGGGAACTTGACAAAACCGTCTCTTGTTCACACTTTTCTTATCCAAAAAAAACAATTGTTTTCCATTAAAATCAGTCCTCAAAGCCTGAGATTGGACCTTCACAGAAGGAAAACTATTCTTCTTTAAACAAAACCCAGAAATCCTCTCAGAAAACAAAGAAACTCCACCACCTTGATTCTTCTTCTGACCATAGTCACAAGTTGTAAACAGATTCGCCTTCCCCAAAACCTCAGCCATAGCTATTTCTTTTTTCCCGTTTTTCTCACAACGAACAACCTAAACCCGGATCGAAAATTCGAACCCCTTTGCCTTATTCCAAATGAAAACCAAAATACATAAAAACTGAAGAGATGACTTTCTGCTTTCTCCGTAAAAGCAAAAGCGGCTTCCGTTATCCTTTCTGCGGCTTCGCCGTTTTGTTGGTTATTTTAAGGTCTACGGATTGACTTCAGCCGTTGATCTGTTTTGTCTCGATGTGAATCCAACGGTTGATGATGTTTTGTGATGGGAAAATTTTCATTTGAAAACGTATTGGATAAGGTTCTTTCTTCGGTTTCCTTTTTTAACGTGGGGCGGTTTTTATGGCGATATGGAGATGCACGTGACGGGTGAAAGTGTTGACACGTGGCTTCAAACCAAAGATTTTGCAGAAACAAAAGGGGGTTCCGGATATTGCTTTGGATAAAAGGCAGGTTGTTTGCCACCTCATTACTGTTGTGGGCCAGCTTGGAAAAAACTACTTTCTTTTTCCAAAATTCAACCCTCTAATTTTCATTTTTATTGCCTAATTTAATTTTATCTATATTAATCTATAATGTTTGAACATTTGAGTTGGTATCATACTTAATTTCCTAATATCTATTTCTTCTTATGTTGTATTTATATAATATAATAAATTAAATGAGTTGGAGTTTTTATTTAATTTAGTAACCAACATGAAACTTTAAGCATTTGGGAAAAAATGTTATTTATAATAGCTTATAATCGTGTCAATCCTTTAGATTTCTTAATACTTAAGTTTCATTTTGTTTTTTAGGGATATTAATACTTTAATTTCAAACTTTGCATCTTTGATTAGGTGACCAATTATGAGTTGATTTTCTCAACAAAAAAAACCTATGAGTTGACCATGACATGTGCATCTTTTTTCTCAATGAAAATATATAAAAGGTATAATATAAAAAAAACAAATTTCTACACTATGTAAAATATTTAATTGAGTTTTTATATTTTTATTTTAAATTAAATAAATTTTTATAATTAATAATTAATTTAATCAAAATATCATTTATTATTCTATCTTACGTAATGTACATTAATATGATATATTAAAATATTATAATTAATTATAATATAATATATTAATATATTATTGATAATGACATGATATGCTAATTTAACATGATAATACGATTATGTAATATTTTTTACTGTTTACATCAAATATCATATTAGTATCGTGTGAATATAAAATGACATCAATCATTAATAATAAAAATTTATTTGATTCAAAATAAAAATATAAAAATTTAATTAAAAATAATAAAATAATAATAATTTATTTAAATATTTTTAAATAATTTTAAAATTTATTTAAATATTATGTCTATATAAAAACTGCACCCATATATAAAATTTTAACTTCTTATATTAATTTGTCGTTTTCTTATCTAATTATTCCTTCAATGACAAAAAAAAGAAAAAAGATTTACAGTGTTTGACTTGTCAAAATTTTCTGCACCGACCACCTCCCTACCGACACCGTAGCAAAATTTTTAGCACATGTTCTTATTTCTATTGAATATCTTAGAATATGGTTACAAATTTGTAAATATTTTTCAACAAAATTACATTAGATCAAAGCTTTTCAATTTAATTAGCCTTCTTATTTAATATGAAAAAGGAAATTTTAACATACTCTTTCCCTCATTTATCTTTTTTTTACAGTTAATTTTTTTTTAAATTATGATATTTTATTGAACATCAATTATGAACATAATTATTAAAATTTATATAAAAAATTAAGTTATTTATTATTAATAATTTAAATTTAAACTTTAAAATATCACGTAACAAAAAATTATTAAACTAATAATAGTGGGACTCGAAAGCTATGACATTTGCAAGATTATTCAACTTTTCGAGATTTTATTTCTTTTTTTGATGGGGCTCATTGGACTCTATGATCAAAGATTTCAAGCTTTGACAAAAGCAATTCGAGTTTGACAAGAAAATTCCAAAATCCTTGAGCATGTTATGTTTGTAGGATTATTACTATATCAACTTACTTTAAACCTTTTATCTTCTGCCCTATTAAATCATTCTCTTTTTGATAAACAGTCCCATAAATCATTGACTCATTAAATATTGTACAAAGTTTGAATAGTTTTACTTTTCATTTCATCAAAAATAGTTTTTGAAAAGAGTTAAATTACATGACAATGACTTTTAAAATAAGTTAATCTTCTTAGCCCACCTTACCCAACCTTTTACGTCTGTACGCCCACTGATACTTGGCCCATGGAACAAGAGTTTGATGGTACGTTTTGCTCTTCTCGTTTTCTCTGTTGCTTTTTGGAATAAACTTATGGGCTTCCATCATTCACATTACTCATTTAGATTTAGGCCATGCCAAACTTCTGACAATGCCATAGTTTATAGTTTATAGATCCCATTCTTGGCCCCTCAGGTGGTCTAAAGCTCCCTCTCGAGGTTACTATTAGTTCCACTCTGACTGCTCTGACCAGGAAGAAGCATACATTTTCATACAACCTTTCCTACCTACCAGCCACTATCCAAGATTCCAACTCCGCAAAAGGGAAAGGAAACTACTACACAAGAATCTATTCCAGAGTCTACTGCTCACCAAACTTTCTTGCTAATATGCTACTTCCTCACCACCCATCATCCATTCCCGACTCATTGTGGAGGTCCAGATTTAATCTTCATCATCTCAACACCCAGCTTAACAGGCTATCCATTCCCTACACAGCAACATTCAATGATAAGCCAACCACATTGTTCAAAATAAATCAACATTCCTTCTCTACATTACCATCCAAGTATCACCAACCTCTTCTTTTAACTGCAAAATGTACACCCCAAAGTTTGGCACTTCC